GCTTATTTTAGCAAGCAGGAATATAGGCAAGTCAGTAATTGAATGAGCTGTTTTGCATGGCAGGCTACTGGTATTTTTGAGGGTTACTTTACATAATGGATAATAATAAGAGCCACTAGGTGCTGAGATAAAATGGGGGAAGGATGCCAAAGATTATCAAACATTTTCCCTGATAGATTTTAGCTCCTATTTAACTGAGGAAACCAATACCGCCCAAACTTTGAAAGATCTTTCTTGAAACCAACAGGGCAGAGCACTTTCTCAATATATATATATATATATTAACCATGGTGCTTCTGAAATACTTCTATCCCTGAGTCTATGTTGCCTGCTTGCTTGAAGATTATATGCTGGTCACAGTTGCCAATGTTAGAGTAACCATAGGCAACTTGGTGTTTTTTAGATGTTTTCAACTTCAACTCCCATCCACTCTGGAATGTAGGAATTGTCAAATATATCTTGAGAATATCAGGTTGCTTCCCCCATGTTAAGAGAATCGAAAGAGAATCAAAATCCTTCCCAAACTCTCTTCACAGTCAGCCAAATAAAGCTTGTTTTTAAAACTCTCCCTTAAGCAAAATTACTTCCTTCCATTTTTTCCCCCTGTATGTAATTGCAGTTACAATGCAACTTTAAGACATGAAGAGGGGGAAATGCACAACAGTGCCCATATTACAGGTTATTTCCAAAAGGACAATATCCGTAGGGTTTTTCATCTACCACACAGCAGGCACATGGGAGTCCATCAAAATGACAGGACCCCGTTTCAGTCAACCAGGTGGTTGTTTTCCACTTCATGCCAAGGACATAAGTTCTACCTTGCTTTTGCAGTACATAAAGAGTGAAATATAGAAGTTGGGAGTTGCAAACTCTCTTGAACCAAGCCTTATTCTCTTTTCTCCCACAGAGAGGTTTTCTTTGTTGGTTGAATTCATTCAATCGCTGAAAAAAGAAAGATAAAATTAAATAAGATTTTTGATCTTGCCAGCTGTAACTGCTGCTCCTTAAATATCTTGATCTGAGACTAAATTTAGCAAGTAAGTATATTGAGCAACAGTCAGGCCAGGTATTTATCCAGTCCATTGGCAACAGATCAAGTGTGGGACAAGAGGGGGGGAAAATCATCTTTGAAGTAGAGATATTTTTCTAAATAAGAAAGTTTTAAATTACTAAGTCATAATGAAATCTTATCAATGGTCTTGTTATCTAATCAATTTATATTTTAATGGGTTAGGCATGTATAGAACATTGCTGAAACTAATAGGGCAGGCCTTTGATCCTTGGCTGGACTACCAGATAGTTTTAAGGAAATAAGGACTGGGGCTCAGACATTGTATCAAAATGCACCTTCCTTATTCATTATTGCACATTAATTATGTATCTATAACCTTAACAGTACAGTTAATAAATACATGGATATAATTGGCACCCAGGAAAAAAATTGTAGGGAAGCAAAATGATCAAAGGTTTTGCAACTCAAACTGTAGGATTACTGAAATGTCAGCTGGCTTGAGAAACAGCTGGCCCTCAAGAGAAGAGCATCTTTATTGTATACAAGAGATACTAGATAGTCACTGGCATCTGTTCATATAGGAAAGTTCTGGAAGGCTATCTATGCAGACCACGTGAAGTGAGGTGAACCATTTATTGTCTCTTAGATATTGGGGAAAAAAGATAGTACAGGCAACCATGATTTGGTTGACAATAAAGATGCAGCTTTAAGTTTATATAGGCATCACCATCTTTTTGCCTAATTCTTCCCATCCTGGTTTGAGGTAATAGATTGCCATATGGAAAAGAAGAGACTTGGTGGAAAGAGGAGAGTGGCAGGGCAGGCTTTCTAATTCAGTACAATGAAAGTAACCTCTCTTAGTGTCCCCCTCTCCCTTTTCTGAGAAAATGCTGCTCAGAGGTAAGAATCCATCTAAAGCAGTGTTTCTCAACCTTAACAATTTTAAGGCATGTGGACTTCAACTCCCAGAATTCCACAGCCAGCATTGCTGGCTGTGGACTTCTGGGAGTTGAAGTCCACATGCCTTAAAATTGTCAAGGTTGAGAAACACTGATCTAAAGGAAAGAGAACAAAAGTGAATCTGACAATGACCCTTCATGTGTAGTATTCTATGTGGCTGGAGATACCCTCACCTCATAAGGTAGTTCTGCCTTTGGTGTGTAGATGGAGTATCTTAATAGTTAAGTCTGAAAATTGAACTATTACAGTAAGCAAGGAGTTGCAAAGTACAGGCAGCTACAAGGTTGATGTTACTGAGCTATCTGGAGATCGATGTTTCTATGCAAAAGAATAATCTTCTGAGAAATGTTAAAGATGTTTTGAGTTAGGCAGGCTCCAAATATACCTGCAGAAAGGTCTTATTGACCTTGGCCTCTTTTCAGCTCTACAATACCATGACCGTAGTATGTAGTTACCAGCTGATCACAACCTAATGAGATGGAATAGTGTGACAGTACCTATTGGGGTGATCCATTTTCCATTTAAATTGAATTTGAATAAAGGGTCTTAGATGAGGACAAAATAGCATTGATTTGTTTTGAAACACTTCCTTTTCTAAAAGATTTCCTGGGCAAATCTGGACATTTATAAACCCTAATAAGGGCTATCAGCTGCTAAGGAAATAGAAACTGTGAAATATGCCAAGGGGTTCCAATGTCAGAAAAACCAGCTCCAAGAAAGAGAGAGAAATACTTTCTAGTTGGATGTTGCAGAGAAAAGGCGACAGATACTGTACATTAGTTTCAGCTGCTAGAGAATTATATTCTGTATATTTTAATTCTACATCAAACTAACACAACAATTAGATAAAAATATCAGTCTATTGTTTAACAATTCTAAGAACATTTAAGAGCAATATGCCCATCTAAACATGTCATGTATTAACAAATGCATAGAAAAACAGGGGACAGAACTGAGTTGCCAAACAGAAACAGTTCTTTATAACTGTCTTCCTCTTATTGGAAAAGTCTATTGCACTTTAGACAATCTAATTAAAACTGACTCAGGAGAATATTCATTGATCAGGAAACATGCAGATATGGTCGGATTTTTTTTAATGAAGACTATTTGATTCAAATTGATTCAAATATAAAGATATTATGGCATACAATGCCATTCTGAACCTTCACTTAAGAACCTGATGTCTTCCTGTAATATTAATATGTGCTAACATATTCATTTTTTTGGTCCGTACATTTTTCAATGATCAAATTAAGATTTGCATTGCTCTACTGCTTAAGAAAATGCAGCACACCTTCCAAAACCAGTATTTTCTTTTAAAGCAATGCCAATCTCTACTGAAAATACTGAAAAAATGACTTAAACACTAGCATTGTCTGAAAATGTATTTTAGTTTGTACCTGCTGTATTTTATTTTACTTTATTTTTTGAAAGAGCTGATATCACAATAGAATTACATTACTAACTCTAGTAATATCACAGACTAAGAAATGATTAAAATTAGAAAATTTGTATTTGTAAAACAAAAGCATAAATCAGTAGTACATATTTTATTTCACTTCTTTCCCCCAAAATGGTACGATTGGACAAATGAATTTGCAAAAAGAGATTTAGCAGAACTTGCAGTAATGGTGTGTGTGCATAAGTGTGGAAGCTTCATAAACAGTGGTATAGTTAACCTGTAAACATTCTAAATAATGTTAATTACTTTATACACAAATAGATTTCCATGCCATTGATTTAGCTGGAAATTATTTCCAGACCAATAAGGGTAAGGTTTCTTATCACTACAGTAAACTTATTTGTGATTTATTAGACCTAGCTGAAATAACACTTCGCAAGCAATACCAAGGATGTGTGATATATACAACTTTCCAAAAATCGCTAAGAGCAACTCAACAGAAAGTAAATTTATCTGTTTAGAGCTGATATGCAGATTGGCATCACAATTCATGCATTCCAGTTTTTCAAAGAAGTGTGTGTTTAATATACTTCCTGCACTATCACAATGTTCAGACTGAAGGTGGCCCTATAGTTTGCAAAACATCTTTCCTTATAAATGTGCAAAGAGACACATAAAGTCATAGCCATGCACAAGTTAAACTGTAAAATATACATTTGCACAGATGTTATATTATTCCTTGTGAATATTAGCTAAGGTTTGAAGACTAGAGTTGTATAATATTGTCTTTAGCTTGGTGAACAGTTATGTCAGCCTCCCCCCTTGAGGTCTGAAGATGTACAACTCTCAACTGAAAACTTAAGGCCATGCTGACTTCAATAAAGTTGTTTTATAATAAGACGCCATTGCTAAACATATTTGAGACTAAGTCTACCATTCCACAGGACCTATGACTTAGTTCTATCATTACAGTAGTTTTCCAAAAGTATATGCACCTAGATCCTTGGTCAAATTATTCCAGCTTAGATATATTAGATACAATTTGGCCAAATTGGAAAACTACTCTTTTTCCACCAGGTGGGTTGTCACTGAAACTCATGCGACATTAGGATTGGATTCATATGTTGTTAAGCCACAATTGGTTTAACCATAGCATGTTGAATAAACCACAATTTACTGAGTTCACATAGCTGAGCAACAATGAAACAATCCATATTTTAATTCAACAAAATATGTGTTTTCAGTTTAAGATTCTTCACATGCATCTGGGAGTAATTCCCATTGAGTTGCCAAAAGTAACGTTTGCATAGATTTTTAAAAAGAAACTGTACAATATTCAGCAGCAAAACCCTGCTTCCAATTTCAGCAATTGTTCCAAAAATCACTGTCATTTAGACCTTTATCTTTCCACTTAGAGTTGTTGTACAACCACTACTAGGTCACAACAGGTTGTGTAAAATGAGATTGCATAATAAAAGAGACGGTATTTCAGTTGCAGTTTAAAAAAAAAATGCAAATTATTGTAACTTTGCATTTTTTTCTAGCCTGTCTAAAATTAAACTACATTGATGACATGCTTCCAAACAAATCTTTTTTTAAAAAGGACTTTCTTTCATATTTTGCACAATTTTTATCAAAAAGGAAAGAATCTTTATCGTATTGTGGGCTTAATTTCCTTATTAGAAGAGGATAGTCTACTGCAGCAGAACAGAAACATTTATTGATTTGTTTAACAGTGCAAACTCACTTCATATGCAATTTATACGAGGTGAGAATTCCTTGAAAACAATTTTTCATATAAATTGCAAATGCTTGTATTTATTTACCAAAAGCAGAACCATACAAGTGGTTTGTACAAACAACGAAGGAAAGGGCAAACATGCCAAGTACAGTAGCTGATTTACTTGGCTAAGGGATATGATTTTACTCGGGCTAAGGGTTTTCCCTTTGTGCATTCTTGCTATTTACTTGCTTGTCTGTACATGTCACTTTTCTAAATATGCATGCAACCTATAAACCTTTTCCCCAATTATGAGGCATAAAAACAACCTTCTGGCAATCGGTAAAATGTCTCTCTCAAAAAAAAGTTGAGGCAGTCTTTGTTGAACGGTATTTTTTAATATATGCTCACTCTTTGAAAATATCGGAGGGGGAAACAAAGAGGGAACATTTCTTATCTGTTTAGATGCTAAGAAATATTGAACCACAAACCGGTAGTGAGTTGCAAAGGCTTGAAAGTAATAATGGTACAGACTGCCTAATACCATGCACCACATCCATAATAACAACTATGTGAATGCTGGGCAGGGAGGCATAATTCTCTGCATGTGTGAAGTCTCTGATGTCTAGGTGAAACGGGAAGAGGAAGAAGGTGAGAGTAAGGGAAAGATTTAAAGTCTACATTTCATGCAGGGCTATTATGCAGCAGGCCCATTTCCCCGTAGTACTTCTTCAGACATCTGAGTTGGAGTTCAGGGTTGTTAGCCTGGGATCTGTGTTGATCTCGTACCTGTAGTGATAGCCCTCCATGTGGTCTCTACAGGCGTCCCTGATGTTATACATCCACTTTTTGATCCCCTTTCGGTTCAAATATAAAACCAGGAGGAAAATGGCACCAATGAGGGCCAAGACTATCCCGAGGAAGACGTAAGAAGTCTGCAGCGGGGTCTGGTCATCGATCAGAAAGGGACAGCTGAGTTCCGACACATCGATGCTCACCAAAGACCGCTCTTCCAACGCCTGGGGATAGGAGCATTCGAGGGACCCTTTGGCCTCGACCTGCTTGCTCTCCTTCAGCCAGTCCACCAAGTCCTCGATGTGGCAGTCGCAGACCCAGGGGTTGCTGCTGAGATTGAGGGCCAGCAAAGGGAGGCCCTGCAGCTGCTGGAGGGTGTCATTCCTCAGGGTCTTGAAACCGTTGCTGCCGAGATTGAAGCTGCGCAGCTGTCGGAGGTTCCCCAAGAACACTTTATGCAAGCTCACCACTGAGTTGTTGTGCATGTCTAGGTGCTCCAGGCTGGGCAGGGCGGAGAACATCCTGGCTGGGAGAAAAATCAAATTGTTATCCGACAGGTCCAAGCGCTTCAAGTTGAGAAGTGTGCCCGTCTGGAGCAGCTCCGCCACCAGGGACACAAAGCTGTTGTTGTAGAGGGAGCTCCTCAGGTCCAGTTCTTCCAGGGGGCTGCTGGTATTGCCCAGGGCCATGGGGCTGAGCCAAGTGAGTGAATTATCGCTGAGGTCCAACTGCGTTAGGTGGGGCAGCCCAGCAAAAGTCTCCGCGCCCACCCAGCTCAGCTGGTTGCCCCTCAGGTCGAGGAGGGTGAGCTCCGAGAAGGAGGCGGAGAGGAAGGAGGCAGAAGAGAGGTTACTGATGCAGTTACGGGTGAGGAAGAGGCCCTGCACGAAAGGCGGCAGCTGAGGCGGCACCTCTGTCAAGTTATGGTTGACGCACTTCACTGTTCGGGCTGTCTCGGAGCACTCACATAGCGCAGGGCAGGGGAGAATCTGTGGTTGTGGCTGCTGAGCCCAAACCCAGCCTGAGAGGACCAGCAGGAGTAGCAGCTCCAGCCCCCCAGCTCCTCGCCTCACCCCACTTAGCGCAGGGGATGCACAGCGCCAAAGAGAGCACCCCAGCATCACCACCTCTTGTCAGGGACTGTTCTCCTGCGGTGCTCCCTGGGCCGTCTCTTGTCTCTAAAGGATCCTTGGCTCCAGCCCTCCGGAAGCTTCTTCTTGGGTCACGCAGAAAGGCAGAGAAAGGAAGCCTGGAGAGAAAGTGGAATTCCCTCCACGCGTGTGCAGCCAGGCTGGGACTCCACAGCGGTCTTGGAAGGGGAGGAACAGCCCTAGGAACGGACCAGTTCTCGTTCACGTCCTGCCACCCTTGAAAAAAAAGCAGAAAAAAAAATGGGAGGAGGAGGAGGAGGAGGCGAGGAGGAGTTTGAATTACGCTGAGGTGAGGAAAAGATCATGCTTTCTTCTCAGACTCTGCCTTCCTGGATGCTGCCAGCACACTCCTGCTTCTCAAGATCGTTTTCCCCCTTCCCAAGTGCCACCCCTTGAGTCAAACCACAAAAAGCCCGGACTGCAAAAAAAAAAGAAAGAAAGAAAGAAAGAAAAAGAGGGGGAAAAAGAGCAATCCTTGGACTCATCTTGATGTGTTAACAGCAAGTTTTGCCAGCCTGCCCTCAAGGGAGTCTCTCCCTTCAGCAACCTTCCCCAGTGGGGTTTAATAGCAATGTCTCGGCACCCTGAGCAGCAGGGGATAATGGCCATTGTAGTCCAAATACCTGAAGCCGTCTGCTTGAGAGTATGCTCTTTTTTTTCCAATTTTTTTTATTAATTTTGAAATATCCCCCCCCCCCGCATACAAATATAAACATACATTAATACAAGGTATGCTCTTTTATTAGATTTAATAATAATAATAGATTCCTTTTCTCCTTTTCTCCCTTTGCTCAGGAGCTCCAAATGTCTAGGGAAGAGGGAAGCACCCTCTCCCAATCCACTTTCCCAACAATCTTGTGAGGTAGGCTAGGTTAAGAGTGGCAGTGACTGGCCGAGAGCCGCCCAGCGAGAACCTGCGTCCTCTTACCCTAACCACTACGCCACACGTCCTTTCCCTTACAACGTCTTCAGATACAAAACATTACCGGTACATCGCTGAATGGCCGTTAACTGGATAAAAGGCTGGGATTTCCACCCCTGCCGGTCCTCTTTTCGGAGGACTGGAAACGCAGCGTTTGGGGGCTCGAAGGATTTTGCCGCGGGCCACAGCAAGGGATGGCGGTCCTCGTCCCTCAAAAGGCCGGGCTGAAAAGCGGAGCCTTAATCCCCGTCATCTTTTACAACGTACAAGAGAGTCCTGGCTTTGTTCACCCCGCTCCAACCTGAGAAAGTTGCTGGAGAAAATTTGCAACTTTCCGCAAGTAACCCTCCGTTGCCCAAACCGAAAGCCCCCCGCTTTCCTTAATCATCCCCTCCCCTTCCAACTTTTCCAACAAAAAAGCTCCCCGCCACACCCTAAAAACAAGCTCCACGCCTAGGTTCATGCCGCTTCGAGGTTTCCGAAGCAACCCCCCCCTCGCCCTACGGCTACCTCCCATGCTAGGAAGCAACCCCCCCTCGCCCTACGGCTACCTCCCATGCTAGGAAGCAACCCCCCC